GCCGGGCTGGGGGGACCCCCCCCCCCCCCCCCCCAGTGCACAAATTTTTGTGCACTGGGCCTCTAGTATATATATAAAATTCACTGTGTTTAAGGCCGACTATAATAATGTACAGGTAAAGAAAATGGATCCTGGAGTCAGTTTAAGTTAAGATTCTACCACTTACTAGCTATATGACTTGTGGTAAATTATTTCCCATGTATAAAATAGATGATCCAATGTATCTCCCTCATAGGAATTTGTGATGGTTAAACAAGGTGGTAATCCATGTAAAGCAACAAGCAGAATCCCTGGCATATATTAAGTGCTAATAAATGTTAGCTAGTAGCAATAGCAAAGGCAGGTATATATCCAGGGTACATGCTACTCCTTCCACCTCTCCATTTTGTCCAGAGACAAAATAATCTCTTCTATTGTAATGTTAGAAACCTAATCGTAAACTTAGGATCTAAACCTTTACATCTTAACGAAAGAAAACCTGGGACATGCCTTTCCAAGACCAGCTAGCGCTCTTCTTTCACGTAAAGTGAGGAAATAAGGTCATGACAGTAGGATTAGAGAAAAGGCCCTAGGCCTCCTGATTCACAATCTTTGTTTTTCACATATTGCTACCTTCTAAATCATAGAACCATGTGACCTTTTCATTTTTTTAAAAAAACATATATGTTTTTATTGATTTTAGAGAGGAAGCGAGAGGAAGAGAGAGATAGAAGCATCAATGGAGTGCCCCCTGCATGCCCCTACTGGGAATTGAGCCTGCAACCCGGTCATGTGCCCCAATTGGGAATTAAACCGTGACCACTGATCTACACCAGCTGGGCCTTGTGGACTCATTCTTTTTGTTGTTGTTGTTAATCCTCACCCAAGGATATTCTTTCCATTGATTTTTATGTTTATTTACTTATTTTTAAAAAAAATATGTCTATTGATTTTTAGAGAGAAAGGAAGGGAGAGGGAAAGAGAGATAGAAACATCAATGATGAGAGAGAATCATCAGTTGATCAGCTGCCTCCAGCACAACCCCTACTGGGGATCAAGCCCACAACCCAGGCTTGTGCCCTGACTCAGAATCAAACTGGTAACCTCTTGACTCATGCATGGGTCACTGCTCAACCACTGAGCCACAGTGGCCAGGCTTTCCATTGATTTTTAGAGTGGAAGGAAAGGGAAGAGACAGACACTCAATTGGTTGCCTCCTGCACACACCTCAACCAGGGCTGGGGATTGAGCCTGCAGCTCAGGTACATGCCCTTGAAAAGAATCGAACCCATGACCCTTCAGTCCTAGGGCTGATGCTCTGACCACTGAGCCAAACCTGCTAGGGCCAGACTCAGTTTTTTGTTTTGTTTTGTGTTTTTTTAAATATATTTTTATTGATTTTAGAGAGGGAGAGAGAGATAGAAACATCAATGGTGAGAGAGAACCATTGATCGGCTGCCTCCTGCATGCCCCCCACTGGGGACTGAGCCTGCAACCTCTGCATGTGCCCTTGACCGGAATTGAACCCAGGACCCTTGAGTCCACAGGCCAACGCTCTATCCACTGAGTCAAACAGCTAGGGCTGCACTCAGTTTTAATTAAGCTTTTGTTTCAAAGGAAACTATTTTTTTCTCTCTACTTTTGTGTGTTTGACATTTTTCTTTAAATAGCTTTGAATTATTAAAATATTTAAACTGAAAGAAAAATGATTATTTAAAGCAAATTAGTATATGGTTGACTATAGACTGTCTCTGTGATGGAACAAAAACTGGTAACAGTGGTTTCCTCTGGGGAGGGACACTAATAGTGGAAGAGAAGTGGCTTTGAGTATAATGGTATGTGACAAGGGGCTCCTGAGACCTATTAATTCGGGAGGATAATCAATTCCTTCAATTCACTTATAGTTAGTGGAGTAGGACCAGGAAGAACGTAGTAGCAGATATCTGTAGTTATTTGAAACTATGTAGATTTGGATAAAATTTTGGAGATATGCCTTGTAATAGCCACACTCTTAACACTTAACCCAAATTTCAGGGGCCAACGAGAGTTGGGTAAGGAGGAATACTTTGGTTTCATTTAGGTGAGGACTGCTCCTGTGAATTGCATCTTTGTATGTCTGACTTAGTGGGTGATCCTAGGTAAATTTCTTAACCTAATTTCTCATCTGCCAATAGATGGAAATGGTAAGCCCTATTCCTACCTAGTACATAGGGTTTTTCAGTATAAATTGAAGTCATGTAAAAATTAACTCAATTCTAGGCTCAGCTTTGTTAGAATACTAGGCGCTTAACTTGAACTCTTAAGGAGAGAAGTGTGTTAACAATCACATGCTGTTCGTACTAGGTTGTATTGCATGTTCAGTATTCGACTCTCAAAAAAGAGAAAGGGAAGGCCAGAATCAACTATGCTTTGGGCACTTTATGTGATACTTTACTGTGTGTGTGTGTGTGTGTGTGTGTGTGTGTGTGTGTGTGTGTGTGTGGAGAGAGAGAGAGAGAGAGAGAGACAGTGTAATCTTTGAGCTACTTTCTGTTTAAAACTTACGATTTTGAGAGCCAGTTTACTTCTAACTTCCTCTTTTCTGAAATAGGAAGAAACATTTTGAAATAAAATTATCCTAATATATTTTAGGGTTATTACCTATAAATTTCAGAGCATAGCATTCAAGGAAGCACCGATAATATCTGTTTAGCACCTACACTAATCATGTAATAAATTTAGGCTATTAACTTTTACAATAGAAGTAATAGTTAACCTCAGTGTACAGTGCTACGAACATACACATTTTTAAAAATTGAGGCTGCTTAGTTACAATGAAGCCATAAATAGCATTCTTAATATAGTAGACTTACTCAAGGAAAATAAAGTACCTGAAATTATCTATGGACAGTAACTTTTTCTTACATTTAAGAAGATAATACTTTATAGGGATATGTTTAAGAAACAGGATAGTTACATACATATTCTTGAGCTATCTTCCCTTAAGATACTTAATTACAAAGGAGAAAATAATAACTTCATAGTGGATAAACCTGGTAGACACAATCACGCTAACGAAGTGATAAGTTAATATCACTAGTAATTGGACAAATAGCTGGTTTGAACCTTCTGGTATGATGTGTCAGAAAGGACACAACATTACTTCTTTGGCATTCTTGCCAAAAATGCAAATTGAATGTAATCATGAGTTAATATCTCACAAACCCAAATTGGGGGACATTTTAAAGTCTCGAAAGCACCCGGCTGGCGTGGCTCAGTGGTTGAACATTGACCTATGAACCAGGAGGTCATGGTTCAATTCAAGGTCAGTAATACATGCCAGGGTTATGGACTTTATCCCCAGTAGGGGGCAAGTAGGAGGCAGCTGATCTATGATTATCTTTCATCATTGATGTTTCTATCTCTTTCTCCCTCTCCTTTCCTCTATGAAATCAATAAAAACATTTTTTAAAAAGTCTCAAGAGCATGAAAGAAAGAAAAACTGAACAACTACTCTAGATGAAAGGCATAGAAATTTTTCCAGATTAAAAGAGTTGTCATACCTTGTATGCATATATGCTTAACCAATGGACGCAGACAGTGGGGTGATGAGGGCCTGGGGTGGGATAGTGGGGGTGGGCTAGAGGTAGAGAGGGCGGTGAGGGAAAAAAGGGGACATATATACAAAGATTTTTTTTTTTAAAAAAGGGGCTTGTCATAAACATGATGAAACCTATGAGCCTAGATTGGATCCTGAACCAAAAAAAATTTTTTTTCATTTTTTAAAAAGGACAAGGACATTAATAAGACAATTGCAGAAATTTGCATAAGGCCTGTAGATTTAATAATAGTATTATATCACTATTACTTCTCTGATTTTGATCATTGTGCTATCTTTATATAAGATAATATTCATGTTTTTAGGAAACATACTCTGAATTAGAGTTAAAGGATCAAAATGTCTACTGCTTTCAAATAAATCATAAAAAATATAGATGTAGAAATAATAATATAGAAAGAGAAAGATAGACATGATTAAAATTTAAGGAATGTGGATGAAGTTTGAAGGGGAATTCTTTTACAACCTTTTTAAGCCTGAAATTATTTTTAAAAAGGAGATAGTAACTTAATGAGATTTGTCACTAATTAATTGATTTTTCTTTTTTGCATCAATAAGTTGTTTATTGAATACCAGTGGTTTGAAGGATGATGATTTGCAGAAAAATGTTAATATGAAACTGTGGCAAATGAATAATACCATTACAAAATGACAGGTCGGACAATATAAAAAGAGTTGATAAATGTCAAAGCATTTTTACTATATTTGAAAAGTAATACTTTTATAGACAGCCCTCATTATTACATTACGATTCATGTATACATTATATCAATACATTCAAAAAACTTTTTTCACATTTAACATTGAATTTTTGCATAAACAATTAACTGATTTTTGAGAAAGTTTTTCAAAATCCTCTCTGGGTCAGCTTCCTCATCTGTAAAATGAGGTGACTTGGACTAGATTATACTTCAAAAGTCATTTCAGTTCTAAAATTTTAAGATCTTATAACTAGAAAGAAAATGAAAGTTAATTTTCCCATTTGAGTCAAAAGCGGTTGTTAAACACAGCCTGTGTGCCAAGTGACAGTGTAATATTTATTTAAACTCACAGATATTTTTCTGTCAAAGAAACTTTTGTTGAGATTTTATTTCATCGGACATTTGTATGCAACTTCCCATGCATTAATGATATGGTAAATTTAATGTGGTTTAAAAGTATACTTTTCCTGTGAAAACTTGGTTGTCAAGACTCAAGATTAATTATGAAAGTTTATGTGGTCTTAATATTCACAGCAGCCTAGAAGGATTGTCAAGTACAAGTAGTTAGTTGATGATGTAAAAACGAACTTGATGTTCAATGTAAAATAATTTTTGGTTACATTTAACAAAAGAAAATTTTTGTTGATCCTTTTTTCCCCTCACCTCTCCCAGCTTGGTGATCCAGCTATTTTTCCTGCCGTAATTGTGGAGCATGTTCCTGGTGCTGATATTCTCAATAGTTATGCGGGTCTAGCTTGTGTGGAAGAGCCCAATGACATGATTACTGAGAGCTCCCTGGATGTTGCTGAAGAAGAAATCATAGATGATGATGATGACAACATCACCCTTACAGGTAGGTGTGTGTGCCTCCAGCAGCACCTTACTTCAGCCTAGTTTTAGGCAATGCGTGAGCCCTATAATTTGGGGGGACATACAAGGTTCCTAACTTGGTTTTGAATAACTCTATTACCTGCATAAGCTAGAGCCCTGCAGGGAAAAAGAAATTAACCTTTTCTTTCTCATCTGCCTATGTTTCTTGGTGCTTTCTCACCTCTCCTTTCTTCCCTAAGTATATTGAGAAGAATGTGACAAAATAAGGATGCATGCAAGAGGAACAAAACCAAACCAATTCATCAAGTCTTCTTTGAGCACTTATGTACCTAGCTCTATATTCCTGATAACAATGAGAAGTTGTTAGTAGGGAAAAAGGAAAGTTTTGTTTTCTTTTGTTTTTTATTGCCATCACATAAAGCAAAATAGGAGGCCGTGATCCAGATGTGGAATAAGGTGCTGAGGTTTACTAAAGAAGGTTCCTCTTCTAATTCAGTCAGAACTAGGAGGACTTTTCAAAGTTGAAGAGTTCACTATGCTAGTGCTATTTTCTTCAGTTTTAGAAATCAGTGCATGCACTGGTATTATTATACATTTACATGCTGGAAGTATTTGAGAAAATCAATATTTAGAAGCAGAAGTTATTTAAGTATTCTTTTTTTAAATATATTTTATTGATTTTTTACAGAGAGGAAGGGAGAGGGATAGAGAGTTAGAAACATCGATGAGAGAGAAACACCGATCAGCTGCCTCCTGCACACCTCCTACTGGGGATGTGCCCACAACCAAGGTACATGCCCTTGACCAGAATCGAACCTAGGACCTCTCGGTCCGCAGGCCGATGCTCTATCCACTGAGCCAAACCAGTTAGGGCTATTTAAGTATTCTTAAATTAAAAACAACAAAATTAACATTAGTCACAACATTATTAATTAAATCTAGATCTTATCAGTATTTTACCCACTTCATACTAATGTCCTTTTCCTGTTCCAGGATCCTATCTGGAATCTCATACTGAATTTAGTTATTTCTTCTCTGTCCCTTCCAGTCTAACAATTTCCTCTGTCTTTCATTGTCTTTCATAACATTGACACTTTTGAGGAAAAGTGGTTAGACATTGTAGAATATCTCTTAATTTTGTGTGATGTGTTTTCATTGGAATGAGATAAATGTATTTTGGGCAACAATATCATCAAAATGGCATTGTCTCCCTAGTGTGTCATCTATAATAATAAAAGCATAATATACTAATTAGACCGGATGTCCTTCTGGACGACCTTCTGGATGAAGCCGCGGCAGGCAGGGGTAAAAGCCCCTTGCACGAATTTCATACATTGGACCTCTAGTATTAACATAATTGATTAAAAAATACACTGTCTTAATTAATTCTTACAACAGAAAAAAACCCTGAAATTAGAGAGAGGTTAAATTACATGATTTGCCTAAAGTCACAGGCCGAATGACTGAGCCCCCATTGATGAACAACACTTAATTTGTCTATTTTGTATAAAGCATGTTCTTTTTGTTTTTAATTAAATCTTTATTGTTCAGATTATTACAGTTGTTCCTCTTTTTTCCCCCCATAGCTCCCCTCCACC